ATGGTCGTTGAAGGCTTGGGACCCGTTGGCCATGAGGGCCTTGGCCGACGTGTCGTCCGGCTTGAAAGGCTCCATTGCTTGAAGGCACTCGTAGTATCCACAGTAAATTGAAGAATGGATTTGGTTTGGAGACTAGATGTTGTGCGCACCCGACTCACAGGTGACAGATGTTGAAGCACGGCTGCAGTGATCATCATTCTTTTAGGGATTCCTGTCAGAATATTGTGACAGGTTGTGTATTATGATGAAAAGTTAAAATGATGACGTGATATCAGCGGTTGTGAAGGAAATTGTGGCAACATATCCTTGTTATTTATTATAGCTGCGATACTATATCTGCGACATAAACAAAATATTGAAGGTTATCTGGAGTAAACGAGCTCGACCACCTAAAAGGTTGACTCCCGAGGGAGATGGGCGCACGTGCCACCGAGTCATCAGCCTAACCTTCACTTCGTGTTGATGCCGTGCATTATGGAGCAACGAGTTCTCAATAAACGCAATAGAAATTGTTACATACATGCAGAAAGCTTTCGATTTAAAATGTTACTTCTTCTGATGGTTGATAAAGCGCAGTGAAAGTAGAGCCATCAGCCGCAGAATGACAATAAAGAGGAGTACAATGCCGAAGTTTCGCCAGATCTCGTTGTGCTTGTACTCAAACGTGGACTCGACGTACTCCTTGATAGTTATATGGTCGATATTAGTCGGTGGATTCGTCAAGGGCTGGCAGCCAAGATCATCGCCAACATTCATGTACTGCTGCGTGGTCGTGTCGTACGTGGGAAGTTCATCACATTTGCTAAACACGAGGGCAGCAAGGATAGCAACGGAGTAACGTTGAGGAGTAATGGTGTACAACCATTGGTACCCTGCAGGAATGTTGCTCGCTGGCGGATTGAAGCCGTAAAACAGGATTGTAATGGAGTAAACCATCACACCAACTAGTGCCGCCACATCAATACTAGACGTTGCATAGATCAGCAACTGACCCATATACGTCTGTAGCAGCACCATCAGCGACGTGTTGATCCAGTAGAGAACCGCAGTACCGAAGCCACTGAAACCCACCATCCAGTAGAAAATGACGGTGTAGAGCAGCATCGACCCGAAGACGTA